TAGCCTACTTTCCTAGGACAATAGAATTATAAAATCACTATGTCAGTCTGCCCTATCCTTTTCAACTAATAACTTTTGATCCCAGAGGCGAATTTCAACCAGAACTGGCAGAGTGGCAAAGGGTTTATCATTTCTGTAAAAAACAAAGGCACTCGCTGGAAAATACAGAAGCCCTCACACCTCAACCCATGCATAGACCTAACAGAAGTAGGCTCAGCTAAAAGACCAGAAGTGTGCAAACCGATTACATACAAATTTGCTGGTTGAACTTAAAAATAACCTAATTTCAGCAAAGGGTGTTCAATTGAAATAGTCTTTTTGAAATTTATTTAATAAAACCCAAGTCCCAGAGCCAACTCACATAATAATCCAGAAAAAGTTTTATTAGTTAATACATATAAAATCTTTTTTTAGCACGTATTGTAACCTACTTCAGTTTTCTCGTTAATCTCAATCATGTATTCCAAGTATTTTTGAAATTATTACAATGTAAAAAGAAAATATAGATAAAATCATAATTTATTCATTGTTATTTTATCTACTTCTGACTACTAACTTTAAAAATCCATGGTGAATACAAATTCGTCTCCTCGTGATTTTTTCATATATATTGACTCCCTCTTCCACCACATTTTCTTAAAACAGTTTCTTTTGGTTCTTTATGAACATGAGTCTACGATGACACTGACAAGCTTTTCTTATGTTTTCTTCTTTACTGAAATTTGTGATGAGTCACTCTCAAGTAACTCTGAATGCTTTTTTTTTTTTACCCTCAATGCTTTTTATTATATCCTCCCAAATGTCTGATACTTCTGTGTCCTTTGTGCTTTCTTGTTTTGCTTTTGTCATTGGATTACTTCAAAATTATATTTTCATACACAATAGTCCTGTCAGTAATCAGTCAAGAAATTTTCATGTAAAGCAATGGTACTTTAAGCTCACCTCTCCCACACAACAATGCTAATAAAACTTATAATTTTAAACACATTTAAGTATTCTCTTTCCGATTTGGTTTATGCTTCACTTTGTAAATACACTTGCTCTTAATTGTACTTTTTGTTTATGAAACAGGAGATTTTGACTGAGTCCTGGCCCATGTGTATGTAGCGGAGACTGACACATACTCCTGGGTGGGGGGTGGTAATGGAAATGCTGGCCCGTTGAGTTACAGTTTTAGGTGCCAGGTGCCAAGAAAAGGTCATGAAACTGCTGAAACAGAATTCAGCAAGACAACAGGAGGAATGTCTTCACCAAAGACTAGGGTCCAAATGAAACTCTAGTTCTTGGTCTGCTGTACTCCTGAGACACAAATGCTTTATGACCCAAGCTTCCTGACCTTGAAGGAGTTGCCTCTGGGAGATGACTCTGTTGTGATACTGACATCAGTTTTATAATAAGCACATGGAGAGGAGTGTCATTCCTGGTTCATGAAGAGCTATGATGTCTGCATTAAGGAATCAGGCTCAGGAGGGCTAATAGTAGCCAAACAAGAGACACAGCCAAACAAGCCCGTCCACCAGTAGCATCACCACGTTGTGCTCTCACTAGCAGCTTGGAAGTGGAACATCTCTTTTGAAGGACCAGGGTTTTTTTGTTTGTATTTACTGGTTTTGTAATTCTAGGTCTTCTCTGCTAAGGAGTAATGGTGGTAAAACCTCAGCTTTGGGAACTGTTAGCAGTTGGGGCAGAGGTGATGAATTTCTCCAACTTTTGTTGGCTAGGCAAGAATCGCTGAGAAAGTTCTTTGGGTAATGTACATTTTTTAGAATGTTTTTTTCCTCTTTCATTCTCTCCTTTCTTTCCCCGCCCCCCGCCCTTTCTCCCTTCTTCCTTTTGGTTCATGATTTTCTTTGCCTTAAAAAAAGTCCTCCTAGAGGCAGTGTAATAATTCGATTGCAATGTTTTCATAAATTTGTAACTCTCGTTGTCGATATTTGATCTTTCAACTATATAACATTATTTCATGTTTAAAACTTTAAATAATATATTAACAGTGTACTAATGCTTTATCAGCTAACTTATTTCAGTCAATATGTGTTTTTTCTGACATTCCTCAGTGTAAATGTGTTTAGATGTAGTGTAGTCATTTTAACTGCCATACTACATGACTTTAAAAACCATCGTTATTTTTTTGTCAATTTCCTGACCTAGAAACAACTAAGTGATTTGTTTATTTATTTTTCTCATTATGATAAACGATGCTACTATAAACTTTTTTTTTCTTCACACATTTCCTAATACTCAGTGTTAGGGAGTTTCTTCAAGGTAGATGTGTAGAAATGGAAGTGCTTTGCCAAAGGTAGGGAGTCTTCAAATTTCTAGACATGACTGAACTACTTTTTAATGTGATCTTAGTAATTTTATTTATTTAGTAATTTATTTAAAATATTTTATTTATTTACTTGACAGAGATAGACAAATAGAACAAGTGAGCACAAGCAGGGGGAGGAGGGGAGGGAGAAACATGCTCCCCGCTGAGCAGGGAGCCCAACGCAGGGCTCCATGTCAGGACCCCAGGATCATGACTGAGCCAAAGACAGACACTCAACCCACTGAACCACCCAGGCACCCCGATCTTAGTAATTTGAACTCCCATTTTCTTACAAAAAATGTTAAACCATAAATACTGCTAATTTCAGATACCTCAATTGTTTTAGACTTAGAAATATTTTCTAGTATTCATTAGTCATTGTTTTCTAGGTTATCTGTTCATGTTCTTTACTCTTTTTCTAAAATCAGGTTTTGGCTTTTTAAAATTTATTTTAAATTTATTTTAGATAGGTAGACAGATAGATGGATAGGTAGAATATATACATTTCAATACCCCTAACAATGACCCATATCTTCCAATATTCACACTCTTGGGTAGTTTTCTACACTGAATCATCAGATTAGAGCTGATCCTAATTACAAGAGGTTGTTTTGTTTTAGCTTTCTTACCTCTTGGCGTATACCTCTTGGAGCACACTTTTTGGAGCTCTAACCTGCCATGCAAGACTTTGAACTACACTGAGCTGTCATGCTGGAAACAGCATGTAGAGTCTCCATGGAGAGATCCTAAAATTACATCAAGAAAGATGCCCATGGAACACAGAGCAAAATCAAGTCATCCCTATCAAGTACTCTGCACAGTGCAAATTAGTGAACACAATGAATAATTTTTGTTGCCTTAAATCATTTTGTTTTGGGGTGGTTTTTTGAATGGCAATGTATAAAGGAAACTGCCTCTCTCTCTCTTCCTTTCATCTGTTATCTATGTAGCTATTTATCTACATAAATTCAGGTATACCTCCATGTTGTAGATGCTAATCTTTTATTATTTGTATGATTGCAAACTTCTTCAATATCATTTTTTTCACCTTTTATTTTTCCAAGACTCACATAATGTTTTCATTTTAGTTAAATTTGTTATTCTTTTCCTTAATGGCCTTTACTTTTCCTGTTTTTTTAATTTTTTTTAATTTATTTTTTATTTTTTAAAATTCCAGTATAGTGGCACCTGGATGGCTCAGTCAGTTAAGTGTCTGCCTTTGGCTTAGGTCATGATCCCAGGGTCCTGTGATCAAGCCCCACATCGGGCTTCCTGCTCATTGGGGAACATGCTTCTCCCTCTGCCTGCTCCTCCCCCTACTTGTCTCTGATAAATAAATAAAATAAAATAAAATATAAAATGTTCCAGTGTAGTTAATATACAGTGTTACAGTAGTTTCAGAAGCACAATGTATTCAAAAATTCTATACATTACTCAGTGCTCATCTGGTCAGTGTACTCTTAATTTCCCTCACCTGTTTCACCATCCCAGCACCCCGCTCTGGTAACCATCATCGTGTTCTCTTAATTAAGAGTTTGTTTCTTGGTTTGTCTCTTCCCTGGCCTTTCCCCCCTTTGCTCATTTCTTTCTTAAATTCCACATATGAGTGAAATCATATGATATTTTTCTTTCTCGGACTGGAATATTTCCGTTAGTAGTATACTCTCTGGATCTATCTATGTTGTTGTAAATGGCAAGATCTCATTCTTTTTATGGCTGAATAGTATTCTATTATAAATTCCATAATTCATGTTCTATACATTCTATGTGTGTGTGTGTACATGTGTGTGTCCATGTGCACACACACACACATACCACATCTTCCTTATCCATTTGTTTATCAATGGACACTTGGGCTGTGTGCATATTTGACTATTGTAAATAATGCTGCAAAAAACACAGTGGTGCATGTATGCCTTTGGATTAGTGTTTTCGTATTTTGGGGGTAAATACTCAATAGTGTGATTACTGGAGTGTAAAATAGTTGTATTTTTAACTTTAAAAAATCTTATTATTTATTTATTTATTTATTTATGAGAGCAAGAGAGAGAGAAAAGGGAGAGAACAAGCAGGGGGAGCAACAGGCAAAGGGAGAAGCAGACACGGTGCTGAGCAAGGAGCCCAATGCAGGATTCCATCCCAGGATCCCAGGATCATGCATGACCTGAGCCAAAGGCAGATTCTTAAGTGACTGAACCCTCCATGTGTCCCAGTATTTTTTTGTTTGTTTGTTTTAAATTTGAATATATGTATTTTCCTGGAAAAAGGGTCTTTCCCTTCTCACAGACCCAAGAATAGGTTACGAATCTGAGCTAAAGAAAAGGATTAGGTCAATCACGGGCTAGGCTAAGGAAGCCACCAGATACACCTCAGGGCCATCCAAGTCTGAGACCTTGCAAAGCTGTCACTGAAAAGCGAGAACAGGGACTCACAGCAGAGACAACTGAGCACTGTTTCTGTGCTCTTCTTTGTAGTTGTATTTCAAGTTCCTTCCAAAACAAGGCCCTAGAAACCCCCAGGTTCAAGTACGTCCCTGAAGTCGGTCCACTGCTGTCTTGTATTCATGCCTGGGTATTCGTTCACCAACTTTAAACCCCAGGATAGAAGATGTGACATGGCAGAACTTCCCCTTCCGTGGCAGGAGTCTTTCGCTGACCTCAGAGGTGGTGGGGGGCAAGGCAACGTGGAAAACACATTGGAACTTTCCCTTGGAACTGGGCTGTGATGACAAATGCCTGCCAGATCATCATCATTTTTTCCCTGACCCTTCCTCTAGTTTCTCAAGATATAACAGAAAATAGTCTTCTTCGAAGATACTGGTAACAATTCTAAGAGACAAAACACGTGCCACTGATGTGCTGTGTTTTCAGATATGCTGGGTTTAATTCAACTGTCAAATGAGCTGATTGATGCATTCACCTCGATAGCCAGGTAAGCCCACCTCCTTCAGGAAGCCCACTCTATTCTTGGTAGTGTGACGGGCCACCGAGAGATGGAAAGGACGTAAAAATGCAGAGATCTCCTGGAAATTCTTCCCTGGAAAGGCAATTTCATGAATGAGGTCTTCCAGGCAAATAACACCATACTTCCCCAGGTGCTCCTCAATCACTGTATTATCTGTCAAAGGGATGGTTTTATTCTTGACCTTGGCTTGTCCATGTTTCAAGATGAGTTCCCGGACAGACTTCAGATTTGGAAACCCCCAGGCCACATAAGGTTCCACTACACGCAGCGTTTTTACGGTCTGGGGGGTTACTCTGAAAAAGACAACACTGAAAATCTTCTTCAGGCGAAGCCTTGCAATGGTCCTCTGCACCAGTGAACTCACCCCATTAATCCTTTGGATGCGTACAACAAAACCCAAGGAATGTTTATCTGGCACTTCCAGGCCACGAGGTTTCACTTCTAGTCGTCTGAGGCGCACCCTGTCACGTTGCTGCCTCCAGGAATCATGTAAGAACCATTCCAGTCGCTTAAACTTGAGCTGTTTTCCTTTCTTCTGCTCCTTCTTGTCCAAAAGTGCCTGCTTTGCTTGAGTGGCTTTAAGGGCCTGATAAGTCTTCCTCTTTTTCAGGAGATTTTCTGGAACCAACGGGATCTTTTTCCTTTGCTCTTCCTCCGTCATGTTTCCGAAGCTGCGACGACTGCTCCTGTGTCCCAGTATTTTTAACTTTTTGGGGAACCTCCATACTATTTTCCACAGTGGCTGCACCATTTTGCACTCCCACCAACAGTATATGAGTTTCTATTTCATCACATCTTCACCAATACTTGTTTTTTGTGTTTCTGATTTTAGCCATTCTGACAGGTGTGAGGTGATATCTCACTGTTATTTTGATTTGTATTTCCCTGATGACGAGTGACGTTGAGCATCTCTTCGTACGTCTGTCAGCCATCTGTATGTCTTCTTTGGACAAATCATGCCTTCTGTCCATTTTTAATTGGATTATTTGTTTTTTGAGTGTTGAGTTATATAAGTTCTTTATATATTTTGGATCCTAACCCTTTATCAGATACATCATTTGCAAATATCTTTTCCTATTTTGTGGTTTGCCTTTTAGTTTCGTTGATTGTTTCCTTTGCTGTGCAGAAGTTTTTATTTTGATGTAGTACAATAGTTCATTTTTGCTTTTGTTTCCCTTGCTTCAGGAGACATACCTAGAAATAAGTTCCTATGTCTGATGTCAGAGAACTTACTGCCTGTGCTCTCTTCTAGGGTTTTCATGTTTTCCTGTCTCACACTCAGGTCCTTTATCCATTGTGAACTTATCTTTGCGTATTGTGCAAGCCAGTGGTCCAGTTTCATTCTTTTTCATGGAGCTGTCTAGTTCTCCCAACACCGTTTGTTGAAGAGGCTTTTCCCCATTGCATATTCTTGCCTCCTTTGTCAGGGATTAATTGACCATATAAATGTTGGTTTATTTCTGGGCTTTCTAATCTGTTCCTTTGATCTATGTACCTATTTTTAGGCAAACCATACTGTTTTGATTACTATGCTTTGTAATATGACTTGAAATCTGGAATTGTTTTTTTTTTTTTTTTTTTGTAAGGTGTAGATGCAACAATCTAATTTTCCTCTTTTTCATACAGATAATTAATTTGTCACTATGTTCATGAATTAATCAATGTTTTTCCCATGTATTGTATCATCACCTTTTCTATTGCTACTCACATTACATCTAACACTGTTTCTGAATTCCTTGTTTTATCTGATTGGTTTCCCAAACCACACTGTTGTAAATGTCTTAAGCATTCTGTTAATAGAATCCTTATATCTGGTAATTATCTTCTTAGTTCTTAGTTCTATTAGTTATCTTCCTATATGTTTCTTTTCTTGACTATTTACATAAGTCCCTTTCTTTGTATTGTGAAATTGGACAGTCAACATCTATTAAAAAATAACTGGATTTTTATTAGAATTCCAGTAAACTTATAAGTTAATGATGGAGATGGATTACATCAGATGCTGTGTTTTCCAACTTATAAAGATCTTTTGTTTATATGGATCTTTACAACAGGGAATTTTGAAAATACCAAGTTTGGGGGGAAGATTTTCTTTTGTTTTCTTGGAGTGGGGGTTTACGGGTAAGACTCCATGGCTGTCAGGGACAGGTACCACAGAAGGCATCCCAGTACTGAGTGGAAAGTTGAACTACATAACCTTCAAAATCTCTTCTAATTTTAAAGTTCTAGGTAGTAAAACCAGTTATGCAAACTAATGTTCGAATGTTATTTCCGGGCCTTTCTAAGTGAAAACTTTGGGAAAATTGTTGAACTTTCCTAAGCAACTAACTTTCATTATCTGTGAATTGAAGTTGGTCATACTTACTTCAAATTATGGTTAGAAGGATTAACCAAATAGTTAACATAGTATCTGTTTCTCAGCTGATCAAAAATTTAGTTCCCTTTTCTATCTCTGTAATAGTTTGCAATGTCCTCGGAGATAAAGCTGCTCTTTGTAAAGTTATAATGATCACAAAATGATTAGTGATAAGCTTAAATCATTGTGACGGACAATCAGAACCAGATCTCAAATATTGCTTTAAAATACATATACTTCCTGAAAGAATTAGATTAGTTCAAATTATTGCATAGTCATTCTTTTTGAAGTTGAGGGAACTTATTTCTAAGAATTCCATTTTAGACAACTCTTATAGAGCTCTTGCTAGAAACTTCTGCTATGAAAAATTTATGGGTTTAAAATATGACCTAAGGTAAAAGTCTGGAGTGGTTGTTCATTTTTCTATATTCAGAATTATTCTCTATTAATGTATTTATAGTTATAAGCCAGCAAAACAAATAACTTTACAAGGCACCATAATAAACACTATGAGTCTTTGGCTAAATCCCTGCTTTAAGTACATCAAACTTTTCACCTTTGCCAGAGCCATTTTCTTTACCTTTTTTCTCACACTGTTTTTTTCTCTGTATCCTTATCTATTTATCTATCACCTATTTTTTTGAGGAAAAGGAGAAAGATTAGTATTCTTACACCAAAGTTGCAATACATTCCCCAACCCTCTTCCCCTGTGCAGGTTCCTTCGTTACACTCAATATTGATTAATGGATGGATTATTACTGGTATATGGTAATTTTGCACACATTTTCTGCCATTTCCTTTTCATTCCTAAATTCTCTCCTCTTCCTTTTTTTCTACAACCTCTTTCGTTTTTCCTCTAAAAGTTACTTTTTAGAAATATTTTATTTATTTATTTGACAGAGGGAGAGAGAGAGCACAAGCAGAAGGAGAAGCAGGCAGAGGGAGAAGCAGGCTCCTGGCTGAGCAAGGGGGCCCGATGTGAGGCTCGACCCCAGGACCCTGGGACCATGACCTGAGCCGAAGACAGATGATTAATGACTGAGCCACCCAGGCACCCCTAGAAGTTACTTTCTATCCCAAAATTAAGTCTCCCTTTGTTCAGACAGGCAGACCCTTTCTCCCGTTCAAAACAGCAAGAATGACATAAGTCCCGATTGCAGTTATGTCGGATTTATAGGGAAAACAAATCAGACTTGGCCCTTTTACAGATGAGCTCACACTCTTCCATTTTCCCCATTGGAAATAAAAAGAAAAGTCAGGGAAGAAATCCAAATCAGAACCTTTATCTCAATGCCAATAATTTAATTCCAACTTTCCTGTTTCTCCAAAGAATCTCTTCCTCTAAACTTCTCACCATTGCTCTGGGCTCAGAAAACAAAAAATACACAGAACTAGAAACTCAAGGAAAAAAAAAAAAAAAACAAAGCTAGTTAGTTCAAACCCTTGACACTTGACAAATGGCTATCAAAATATTGTAGTTTAAGTTCATCATTCCGTTTTTTATCTCAAATAAAAATAAGGTAAGAGTCATGCCACTTCAGAGTACAGAAAAGGTATATAAACTATATAAAGTTCCCCAATGGCTTCTTATTAAATTTAGAATAGAATCCAAATTCCTTACTATGAACTGCAAGACCCTCCAGGTGTAACTGGACATTTCCTGTCACTTTTCCTGTTACAGTTTCCACATCCAGCACAAAAGCTTCTTTTGTTTTCTTGAACAGATGCTGCCTTGTTCCCACCTTAAGGCTGTCACTTCTGCTTAAAGCAAAATACCCTCCGTATCCCTAGATTTTTATAAGGCTGGCTCCCACATTTATCAACCCCTTCTGTGCCCTTGTTATCTGGAATTTCACTCCCACCAGGCACTGCCACATTATCCCTTTTTAATTTCTTCGGAATATGTGTTGCTACTTGGAAAAATTTAATTTTTCACTTATTTTCCATCTAACTCAGTGGAATTTAAGTTTCATGACAGCAGGATGCTTTTTTTTTTTTTTTTTTACTTGCAACACCTAGGTGACTTCTGTCATTATATAGGTTCTTGGTAAATATTTTTGAGTACACAATTTAATGGAGATCAGCCTTCACTACAAAGGTAGTATTTATAAAACACACTAATAAATATGATTTCTCATAGCTAAATTATCTACTCTAACCTCATATAGGTTTGCTTTAATAATCTGTTCTTCCAGAAAAGATACATTTAGCTATCAAAAATTTGGTGAAATGGAAGAAATTACATGATCACCTTATTAATACAATTTTCATTGACTAGAATGAGGATGTAGTATTTACTTTTTCCTTATAATTTTCCATTGACTAGAATGAGGATGTAGTATTTACTTTTTCCTTATAATTTTCTATTGTCCATTTATAGATATATAAGGGAAAAGCTTGGCATTATAACAATAATTAAGGCATCATCCAGGGGAGAAGAAGAGGAGAGGAAAAGCTAGAAAAAAATGGAAGTATGAATTCATGATGATGGGGTGATAAGAAAGCTTGTTCTGCCTATCCTAACTGATGGACTTTTACCCCAACTCCTGGTATGTTCCATAAATGCCACTTTCACATTCAATGTCTACATTCTCAAGTTGGTGTTTTGCTAAGGCTTGGCTCCCAGGTCAGTGCTTCCTGTTGCCTTCTTAGTATCAAAGGACTGGGCTTCTTCCTCCTTCTGGCGGAAATTTAGGGATTTTGTGGTAAAAATTAGTTAATTTGATGAACAGATCTATACTAACTTACTAATAGGAGATGCTTAAGGCAAGGCATCATGTTCCCGGGTTCTTCCACTTAGGTTCACATTTTAAAAAAGTGACGTTCAGCAGATTGTGTTCTGCTGTGACTTATAGACAGATGAATGTCTCTAATGGTGGGAATAAAAAGACAGCTAGAAGGAAGAATTGTTTGTTCTTTTTTTTTTTTTTAATCCTCGTGGGATTGGTAAATTAGCATATTTGGAGGCTCATGGAACCATATGGCTTTCCTTTCAAATGACCTGCTATAGGATGTTTATTTAGTTATCCAGTAATCTATGACCGCCAGTCTTTCCACTCTTTCTGTGTGTTGTGTAGGAGAAGGGCAAAGTCACTAAGCCTGAGTAAAATCACCCTTTACATTATGGACCAAGACATACAAGTCCAGTAACAGTCCTCTATGTTTATCTATTATTTTTTTCCTTCTCTCTTACCTTTGGCTTTCCAGTAGTCACAGTTCAGTAGCCGCTTGGTTATCTTGAATCTTTGTTACATACTTTCAAATGGGGGAATCTAAACAACTAATATTAGCTCAATTATATCTGA